TGCCACGCTACAGTGCTGGCCCCAGTTCAGCATTTCCTGTAGACAGATGACAAAATAGTGACAAACTCTATATTTAATCTCTCCTTAATTTTGAAGGTAGTTTTGCTAAATGTAGAACTCTCAGTTAAGAAGTAGTTTTGGTTTTTTTTTTTTTAAAGCGCTTTGACCATGTCCCCTGCTGCCTTTATGCCTCCATAGTTTGAGAAGAAGTCGGTTCTTTTTCTTCTTGAAGATAGCTGGTAGGTGAAGATTTGCCTCTTCCTGCTGTGTTCTGCTTGGCTGCCCAGCTTAGTGTAATGTGCCTGCTGGAGTTATGACTGTCATCAAATATTCCTGTCTCTCCCCCACCCTGCCCTCTCACTTTTATTTGGTGGGGACACTCGGTGTACTAAGATTCCCTAGCTTCTGTTCACTTTCATTCCTTCGTTTCCCTCCCTGTTCCCACACTGGACCATCCTGATTGACGTTTGTTGATTCTTCCACCTTCTCAAATCTGCTCTTCCAGTCAGCTGTGCTTTCCAGCTCTGGGATTTCCACTTGGTTCCCTTCGGTAATTTCTCTTTGTTGGTATTCTTCATTTGCTGAGAAATTGCTTTCATGATTTCATGTCTTTGTCCATTTTCCCTTAGCTCCTGATCATATAAAGTCTCTCTCAATAGAGTCCAACGCCTGGCGTTCTTCAGGAGAATTCCCATCAGCTACTTCTTCCCACTATGTAGGGGGCACACTTTGTTGTTTCGTGACTCATAACTTTTTGTTGAAAACTGAACATTTGTTGCTTAAGGACAGGGATGTATTTCGGGGAATGCAGCATCAGGTCATGTTATCACTGTGAGGATCATGGAGTCTGTCTATACAAGGCCAGACAACACAGCTTCTTCTGCACCTAAGCTGTATACGGCACATTCCATCACGTATGTGGTCACATACATACTTTATGTGACGCATTATTAGATCCTAGAGTGGTGATGATCACAGTCCTCTGGGTCTGCCGTTGCTCTGTGTTGTAGGTGACATTTCTTAGGTTTTTGAAATTTTGTAAAGTCTGTTCTTTGTAATGCATGGCCACTGAAGTCCCCATTCTGTTGGCTTAGTGATCAGTTAGTAACCTGGTGGCAGTTCCTTAACTGCCATGGTTTGGAGGTTTTTTCCTTGATTAAGCATTCCTTTGTTTGCTGTAAACTTTGACAATTTCCAGAGTTCCGATTGATTTGGATTTTTTTTTTTTTTTTTGCCAGTTTATTCACTGTTGTGGAGGGGAGGGCTTTTGGAATTCAGTACTCTGCCATTTCTGCTGGCACCGCCAGAGAATCTTTTTAAGATACAAATGGAATATATTTGAATAATAGGGCAAAAACTTCGTTTTATTACCATGGCCCTGCTCTGAAGTCCTAGAACTTCTGCTAGGGCCAAGGAGTCCAGATGCTAACACTAAGCATCACTAAAACCGTGAATGTAAAACTACTATAGACATAACGCACAGATGATACTGTTGCTATTGCAGCGTTTGGTCAGGTAAAGCATTCCTAAATGCTGGCGCAGAACAGTCAAGAGCAGTGAACTTGACAGTGTTCTTAGATTGGAAAGAACGAAAGCAATACTTGCCCTGTCCCCTTGATGCAAACCCATTTGCACATCCCCAAACCCTACTGTTGTGTCTGGCACTTAATGGATATAGTCAATAAACTTCTTATAAATGACTTAAAAATATGTACAGAAATCCTTTTTTCTCCCTAAAGAGAGGAAAGAAAATGTCCGCACTCATTTGGAACCTATCATCTGTCAGGGACTGGGGGAGTGTCTTACAATATACTCTGTCATGGAATCCACACAGAAACTCTGAGAGACGGGCACCGTCTCACTTACCTTACAAAGGAACCAGGAAAGCGAGCCTCCGTTTCCTACGCAGCAGAAGCAAATATTTAAACCCATGGCACCTCTGTGATGCTAGGGCCCGGGCTCCAGCTGCTGTAACTACACACTAGACACTGCTCTCACCTCCTGCTCTGCCGCAGAACTGACTCGACGCGTCTAGGGAAGCTCTCGCTACCCGAACACATAAACAAGAGAAAGCAGCCCGGTCTGCGAGGCGACCGGTTTCAAATTCCCACTGCCAAAGAGACCAGATGGTTTCTGGTCAAGCTAAAAATACACCTGCAACCACAGTGAGCTGAACGTATAATCAAAGAGCAGTGGGGCAGCCACGATAAACACGCCGCTGAGAAGCTGAGAGATTCAACACTTGCAGGGTTTCAAACGGTGACACATGACACACACGTTAGATAGTCACGCCGCAGCTGCTGTCACCCACATTCCTATACCATGCTGGTTTCGTGCTCGTACCCTGGGACCTAGCAGAGCCCGGTCTCACCAGGGAGTTAAAGACTGGAGAGAACCCTCCCTGCCGTCTCTGGCCTGAAGACCCTCCAACAGACACTACTGAGAGAAACCAGAAGCTTCCTTCGGCCCTGGAGCAGCTGTCACACATACACAAGTGGCTGAGATTGAGTTACAGCCTTGCTCTCCTTGTACTTTTACGATCCAAGCTATCTGCTGCCAGGCCTATACTAGTATTTGTAGTTCTGTTAGCATGCGGTTTGATGGTTTCTCCTGCAGTCGCAGTTATTTAACCATCACAGCGCTCAACTGTAGAACATTTCCAGCTCCTCAGAAAGGAAGCCATACGCTTTAGTGACTGCCCCTGCATGCCGCTCCCTCCAGGCCTGCGCAAGCACTAACCTGCTCTGTGCCTCAACCATCTGCCTGCTCTGGACATACACAGTAGAGTAGACCCCCCTTATCTGCAGCTTCCATGTTTTCAACTGTGCTCTAAAAATATCACCCAAGAAATTCCAGAAATAAGTCATACGTCTTAAATTGCATTTTTTTTTTTGACAGGCAGATTTAGACAGCGAGAGAAAGGTCTTCCTTCCGTTGGTTCACCCCCAAATGGCTGCTGCAGCCGGCGCGCTGCGCCGATCCGAAGCCAGGAGCCAGGTGCTTCTCCTGATCTCCCATGCGGGTGCAGGGCCCAAGGACTTGGGCCACCCTCCACTGCACTCCCGGGCCACAGCAGAGAGCTGGACTGGAAGAGGGGCAACCAGGACAGAACTGGTGCCCCAACTGGGACTAGAACCTGGGGTGTCGGTGCCACAGGCAGAGGATTAGCCTAGTGAGCCGCGGCACCAGCCCTTACATTGCATTCTAAGTAGCATGTTGAAACCTTGCACCATGCACATACGACGTCGGTGACACCTGGTCCAGCATATCCATGCGCTGTGCAGTACCTGCCTAAGTCACATGGAGGCTGTCTTGGTTATCAGAACTGCCGCTGTGGTATCACAGTGCCTGGGTTCAAGTGGTCCTCAGGCAGTAGCACGCACGACCTCCCAAGGCCCAAGTCACCTCACTTCATCTCATCACCTGGGTACTGCATCGCCTCACATCATCACCAAAGGAAGGGGGATACTGTTATTCCAGCAAGGTATTTTCAGAGAGATCATATTCACATAGCTTTTAATCCGTGTAGTATCATTGTTTTATTATTAGTTATTACTGTTATTTTCAGTGTTTAATTTATAAACTAAACTTCATCTTAGGTATGTGTGTATAAGGAAACACAGCACTGGGGCCAGTGCTGTGGTGCAGTGGGTTAAGCCACCACCTGGGATGCAGGCATCCTATATGGGCACTGGTTCGAGTCCCGACTGCTCCATTTCCGATCCAGCTCCTGCTAATGTACCTGGGAAAGCAGTGGAGGATGGCCCAAGTGCTTGGGCCCCTGCACTCATGCTAAATGCCTGCCAGTGAGTCTCTGTAACACTCCTCACATAAACCTTATAGAAAGCACAGCCACTCCAGGTCTCCTAATGGGCCACACCCTGAACCGCAGACTCAGGCTGTCTCTGGACATTAGAAAACAAAATGAGGCGGCCCTGGCTAATTTCTACTCGGTGGGAAACAGATCTTCCTTCAGTCGAATCTATAAGGAGTATCCACTTCCCTTCCCTATACGGTAGTAATCCCATGGACTGCAATCCAACAGTAGCCGTCAGCCCATCAGTCCTTCCACAGCCCCCAAAGCTGCCCCCTAGACGCCCCGTGCCACCAGTCTGACATTGGACACTGGCCAAGCCCGTCTGACCTGCCCACAGGGTTGAGGCTGGCCTCATTCAAATGCTCCACAAATACTCGCTGAGCCCCTACTGTGTGCCAGGCGCTACACTCCGTACTGCAGGCAGAATAAATGAACAAGGAGCTGTCCCGGCCTCAAAAGAGTTGAAAGTCGTCGGGGAGGCGCTGAGCCGTGGCAGCACCAGGAGGCACAAGGGATGATGTGTGACAATGGCGTATAGCGGAAGGAGCAGTAAAGCCAAGGCCAGGAGAGGCCATTGCAGCAGGCCAGGACTGGGCTAACTACTGACAGGGAAGGGCCTTTGCAGCTCTGAGCCCGTGTTCCAAAAGTAGGTAACAGAACAGCGGCAGCAGTGTTCCCCGGAGCTTATCACATACCCAAGATCTTGCCTTAAGATACAGTTTCCGGCCGGCGCCGCGGCTCACTAGGCTAATCCTCCGCCTGGCGGCGCCGGCACACCGGGTTCTAGTCCCGGTCGGGGCGCCGGATTCTGTCCCGGTTGCCCCTCTTCCAGGCCAGCCCTCTGCTGTGGCTAGGGAGTGCAGTGGAGGATGGCCCAGGTGCTTGGGCCCTGCACCCCATGGGAGACCAGGAAAAGCACCTGGCTCCTGGCTCCTGCCATCGGATCAGCGCGGTGCGCCGGCCGCAGCGCGCCAGCCGCGGCGGCCATTGGAGGGTGAACCAACGGCAAAAGGAAGACCTTTCTCTCTGTCTCTCTCTCTCACTGTCCACTCTGCCTGTCAAAAAAAAAAAATAATAAAAAAAAAATAAATAAAAAAAAAATAAAAAAAGATACAGTTTCCACGTGGAGTGGCACTGCTGCATCACTTCTTAAAAAAAAAAAAAAAAAAAAAAAAAACCTGGAAAGAGGGTATTGGATTTGATTATATTCCTTTGCGTATTTATACTCCATCTCCAAGAATTTGAAGTGAAGTAAAATATTCAATAAAGACTGGTTAACCAGCAGATGGAGGATCTCTCTTTCAAATAAATAAATAAATCAACTTGGCCTTAATGGAGAGTAAATACCAGAAGGATACAGCAGAGTCATTTTTAAAAACTGTATGCCATGCGGGAAAGCTAAGGTGACTCTGTCAGCCCGTCTCAGACCCCTCCCAGGTCCTACACTCCTGACAGAGCAAAGGCAAAAACACAGCTGGACATGGAGCTCTCGGGAAAACGAGAAGTTAGCAGCTCAACCAGAGACGTTTTCCAGGCCGAACTTTAAGAATTTACAACCATATTTTGAGTTTGATTTTGGTAGCAGATTTGGGAGTGAGAAATAAAGGAAATAAACTTTTAAAACTAATTAATGAATTAAGCCTTGAGAAATTTATAACAATGTATGCATCCTATTTATATTGCAAATTAATTTTTGTCAGTTAATATTTATATTTTCATTAAGTTAGGAGTATTCTTGGGTTAACAATTATTTTATCTGCCTATCTGAAAGAAATTTCATTTTCAAACGGCTACAGAGTGTCCTTTTTACCTGGAATTTTCCAAATGAAGATGGGCTCACATGCAGGCAAGACTCACAACAATAGTCTACACTGACACATTCCTTCCAACTTAACCACCCCATCATCACACCTGTTCACCTGTCTCCACATAACAACCACCCCATCATCACACCTGTTCACCTGTCTCCACACAACTTAACCACCCCATCATCACACCTGTTCACCTGTCTCCACACAACTTAACCACCCCATCATCACACCTGTTCACCTGTCTCCACATAACAACCACCCCATCATCACACCTGTTCACCTGTCTCCACATAACAACCACCCCATCATCACACCTGTTCACCTGTCTCCACATAACAACCACCCCATCATCACACCTGTTCACCTGTCTCCACATAACTTAACCACCCCATCATCACACCTGTTCACCTGTCTCCACATAACTTAACCACCCCATCATCACACCTGTTCACCTGTCTCCACGCAACTTAACCACCCCATCATGACGCCTGTACACCTGTCTCCACGCAACTGAACCACCCCATCATCACACCTGGGCACCTGTCTCCACGCGACTTAAACACCCCATCTTCACACCTGTTCACCTGTCTCCACGCATCTGAGCCACCTCATTGTCACACCGGGGGGAGGTCTCCAGACGATTAAACGAGCCTATCTTCAGACGACGTGCGGGTGTCTCCACAGAATGCAAGAGCTCACTGCTCAAACAAAGTACACAGATTTTCATTCAAGTTATATCATTGCCATGCTGAGCGGGGGCCCTGTTTCTCACAACTTCACCATCCCCAGGTCACACGAGATCTCTGATTTCACTACAAT